ATGAAAGTTTATTTTATGATGGATAAATAGACCCGGTGTGGTCAATAGTTATGCATATGTGGACCCGGTGTGGTCAATTGTAATATAATTGTACAGGTTGTGTTTTGGGTAAAGCTCCCCGTACAAAGGAGACTCTGCCCAAATTTTGTTAAAATATGAATGGTTGATGAATGAACTTTCGTCGTGATGAATTTACGTAATGCTCTCATGGGGTGAATGGTTTTTAGAATGTAATGTCACCCAAGGGGGTTTTTGGGGCGTTACAGATATGCGTAGAGTGCATCAGTTAGTTTTGACGACCAATCTTTGCAATTTGGATTTACCATTTTTTTAAAAATTAATTTGATCTCCTGATTAGCTAATTCAGCATGTCCACTAGTCTACGGATAATAAGGGGTTACAGTTTTGTAAAAAATCAAGTATTTTTTCATCAAATTCTAGAAAGAATGATTGCAAAAATGAGCACCCCCATCACTTATGATTGATTTCGAAATTCCAAACTAGGACAAAATGTTTTTTTTTTAAATTTGATTACCATTTGGTGATCATTATTTTGGCGTGGAATTGCTTCAACCCATTTGAATACATAGTCTACGACTACCAAAATGCATAGAAAGCCAAAGGCAGGGGAAAATGGTCCCATAAAATTGATGCCCTAACAGTCAAAAATTTCAATCACCAGAATAGAGTTTAAGGGCATCATGTTTCTTTTAGAAATGCTTCCCAACCTTTGGCATCTATCGCATGCCAAACAAAAAGTATGGAAAAATCCTTGAATCTCTCCCAACTTTGGTAAAAGGTCTTTCTTTTAACTGAAAAATTCATGATTTGCCTTTTGAGTACATTGGTGTAGTGTAAAGGAAACAACTTTCTAAAAAATTCATTATGTAATGCCTGTCAGTCAAGTATTGAAAGGGCTTTTAAAGAATTTAGCCATTGTTTAGCTCTATCCCTTAAAGAAAAAGAAAAAAGTTTCAACTTGGCTAGCTCAGAATTGTCTTGAAATGTTCAACATACTTCCTCAAAATCTTTTATGTGCAGATATGAGTTTTCTAATTCGAGCCTATGAAAGAGAGGGAGTAGTTGAACTATCCCCGTCTTTACAGTAAAGAGGGGCACATTTGCAAGAAAGATAAAACAAGAGGGGACACTATTTCTTGTGGGATGTAGGCAATCCCACAATGTTTCAATGTTAGGCACCTCCCCCCCTCTCACAGGAACTTTTTCTTGTCTCTCATTATTTGCCATATTATTATCAAAAGGGTTTGTTACTGATCTAAGTGAAGATGGTTCAGACCGATTCACAGATCCAACATATTCTGCCGGCAAATTTTGAAGTGAGGATTGTCCTCAGACATTAAAAAAAAAATTTATACATAGTAAATCAAAGAAAGAATATATACAAAAAGGAAGGACTTTTTACCTTTTACCTTACAACACCTTTTTATGGTTCCTCGGCAATGGCGCAAAAAACTTGAATTGATCCGATATGTGTACACCCAAGTGTAGACGGTTAAGTTGTAGTAATAATCAATTAAGTCTAGAGTCGAATCCACAGGGAACGATTGTTGGTGTTTTGAAGTAAGCAACGATGGAGACCATGTGATTATAACCTTTGAGATTTATAGTGATGATGTTTAGAGATTTTTCTAGGCCAAATATATCATTCTTTCCAAGAAGTTTTTCTAGACAAAATATAAGATAAATTCAAATGTAAACAGTCACCCTTTAGCTTGAGGATCTGAACATGTAGTTAATCATCCAGTTTATTATACTTGTGCTTGATAACTCAATTAACTCCTGTGTCAACAGTAAGTCAATCGGAAGATAAATGTGGATTATGATAATTAAGCGCATGGTTCCGATGCCTTTCTAGAAGTTTACAGGAATTGTCTGTGCCGAGACGCAACTCGTCTACAAACAAACAAGTATTTTTACAAGGCATCCAACCATGACATTAATATTCCATCCTTTAAATGAAGTTCAATAATGGTGAAGATTGAAGGGTAGTCATGAAGATCTAGCCGGAGTACTTGCCTTGAACCAATAAGTCCTTCTATACAAGAGTCATCTATGTTATAGAAAGTACTCACGATTCTACAAAGTACCTTAGCTTTGCTAGATGCAGTCAATCATTCAATAAACAAGTGAAATATAAAGCATTTAAACATAACTAAAATGCACAAAAATAACTTATGGATAATTTATACATGTACATCACCTCTTACTAAAGAGTGAATGAGAAACTACTCACTCTTCATATCTTTGGTAAAGCTAGAAAAGTGAGTGATGCTCATCCCTCCAAGTAAAGGAATTACAAGGTAAAACACAATAAGCGAGGAGCTGATCTTCGACAAAGAATGAGTGAATCACGTTCCACCCTTCACGTCTTTGGTAAAGCTCTAGAAAAGTGGAAGAGTTTCACTCCTCTAAGGGAAGAAGAAAGCTCAAGCAATGGAAGTGAAAGACAATTAATCAAAGTAGAAGAAAACTAGTCACTTTTGGAGGGTTTCCACTGCAACCAGAAGTGATCTACCTTCCTTTTTGCAAGTAATTGAAAGCCTAAGTCTAAGACTAATTCTATAACAAGCTAAGAAAGTGTTGGTCTAGTGCCAATCCAACTCTCCTTTTGAAGCTCCTAGAAGGGGAGTATTTATGGGCAAGGAGGAGGGGACAAGAAGGTGTGAAAGAATAGTGTCGGGCCTTGAAAGTCCTACTGAAAGTCGTCCACTCTACAGCCTATTTTGGGACAACGTTCGAACGTTGTCTAGCATTCGAACGTTGTTACTATCTTTGCGTGATGGGCATTCGAACGTGACCTGTGTTCTTCTGGGGATCTACTTCCATACGTCTTGAACTACTACCCTTGCACTCATTAGCCTAGTCCTCAATAGTGTAGGAGAACGTTCAAATGTGTTTGGACATTCAAACATGGTACTCAAGTACTTCAATGTTTTCCTTCTTAACTGCAACATGCCATGTCTCAACATTATGATCTTCAAATAATTCAAGGGAACGCTCGAACATGAGTTGGTGTTTGAATGTTCTTACTTTGTTCCAAACTTTTCTAATTTTGTCCCCTAATATGCTAGTGTTACATTCAAGTTTGATATTTGTTGCCCTAGAGCCATTGTTCACTTTAGGACCTGAAATGTCATCATTTAAATACCATCAAAGTATAAGTAGTATGAAAAAGGCATAGTGATATGCTAATTTTAACTACTAATCAAAAATCATTCCTCTACTTTAAGAGCTTCCACCACAACCTAGATTCCTAAGATCCAAAAGCTACCACTAGAGATTTTGCCCCAACCTCACAAATTAGAATTGAAGATCTTGATGGTTTGATAGACACATTGGTATGTGCATACCGAGAATTATTGGTATGCCCATAATCGTTTGAGGTCTAGGCGAACTGTGCGGCGGGGAGGTCCAAGCAAGGCTACGTTAGACGTGGAAGATGTACTTTCGACGGAGAGACATGGCAAGGAAAGGAGCATCTAATCATGGTATTGGTTGAGGTATAAGTCCCGATTACTTGTATATTGACGTAGTGAGTAGTGAATTAGACTTTGGTGAACTAAGAAGGTTCCCAATAGTTTTTTGAGGAGGATTTTTCGCACCAACAAATTACTTATAGAGGGACAACTCAAAGGATTGGGTTGTTTATTTGTTCTAGTTTATGCTAGTAAGGTTTCTTAGGGGAACTCGCTTGTGCTTTATGAATGGCTCCCAACTTTTTGCATGGTTTGGCGCTTGTGGATTAGCGTTTTTTTATCGGAAGACATTACAAGAAAGCGACCGGTGCAACTAGCTAGACCCTTAGGTTTATTTAAATAAATATTCCAACTGGGCTACTACTAGTTAGTATTTGATGGAGTCTCAAAAGGAAGGTGGTTCAATTACACGACCTTCTCTCTTTGATGGTACAAACTTTGCTTATTGTAAATCTCGCATGAGAATGTTTCTAAAATCAATTGATGAGAGAGTGTGGTTAATCGTGAAGTAGGTTAGATCCCTCCCATCACCACCATGCAAGTTGAAGTTGGTAAAGCGGTAGTTGAATTGAAATCCCAATAACTTGGTCAAGAATCGAGATCAATTTGGCGGGTTGGAACTCGAAAGGCTTGAATACGATATTCATTACCGTGACACCTAACAAGTTATGAAGGATTGCAAATTGTGAAACTTCAAAGGAGACGTGGGATATTCTTTTGGTTTCACATGAAGGAACTACAATGGTCAAGATGTCTGGTCTCCAAATGTATACCTCACAATTTGAGTTGTCGAGGATGCAAGAGGAAGAAACCTTTGGTGATTTTTATACCAAGTTATGTGATATTGTTAATTTTTTCTTTGCATTAGGTACCAAAAGTGAAGATGTCACCATTAAGTGGAAAATCTTGAAATCTTTAACAGAGAGATTTTTTGCTAAGGTGACCTAGCTCGATACGAGTGTCAACATGGCCAAGGTATCAGTCAAAGGCCTAGTAAGTTCATGAACCTTCTTCCACCCAAGAAAGTGAAGGGTGTTGGATTAAATTATAAAATTGAAGAAAGACGTAAATCCGAGTCACCCTAGTTGGGAGAAGAGGACATAGCGTATCTTGCGAGAAAATTCAATGTATATTTTAAGGCTATTGGTGGCAAGTTGTCAAGGTTGAAAGAAAATCTAAGTAGATCCAAGTCTCTGAGAAAGGGAAAAGAAAGTGGTGGTCTCAACACGAGATTGAGAAGAAAGGACATGGTCTCCAATGCTATGAGTGCCACAGGTTTGGAAATATAGCGGCAAAATGTCCTAGTGCTAAAAATGACATGCCCAAGAATAGGAAGAGAGCCTTAAAGGCAAAGGTGAACAAAAGTGAAAGTAAGTCCACAACGAGTGTTAACTCTTCTTCGTCAAGTGATGAAGAAAACTTCACAGCCTTTGTAATTTCATATTCCTCCCCCAACGAGAAACTTCTAAGGATGAAGAAAAGAAAGTTGAGTTGAGTCTCACTATGGATATAGATGACTTAATAGTGGAAGTTTCTACTAGTGAGAATGAGACCAAGAGTGTTGAGGACCTCCAAGATGCTTATAACGAGTTATACAAGGAGTGTCTTAAACAAGGTGATAAATTGCTTTCATTGAGCCCGAGGCTCAAAATGAGTGAAGAGGAAAAGAAAGCACTTCATGTGGACATAGTTAAGTTCAAGGCTCATATTTGTAGGCTTGACGAGGAGATGAAATCCCTCTTTGACAAAGTGAGCTTCCTTGAGAAAGAGCACAATGAGCTTTTAGAGTCTAAAAAAGGTCTTGAATTTAAACTCATCAAACTTGATAGAGATCTACATATATGGTAAGAGCTCTTCAAAATAATTTTCCAAAGCACCAAAAAACTTGACAAAATGTTGGCTATAGGTAAAAGTGTTGGTGGCAAAAGAGGATTAGGATTCACTAATGAACACAACACCTCCACTTCTTCTAAGATTGTGTTTGTTTGGTGATCACAACTCTACACACCCAAAAGTAAGCACAAGTCCTAAAAAGACTAACATTGGTAAGGGAAAACACTTAAAGAAGCTAGTTAAAAAGAATACCTAAACCAAATCATTTGTGTGTTTTACTAGTGGTGAACATGGTCACTATAGTGCACATTTTTTTCAAAATAGGGAAGTCTTAGACAAAAAGCTCATGCACCTAGCCAACCAATCTAAAGCATTGAACAATCAAGTTGTTAATTTTTCTAAGCTTTTAGAGAGGTCACATGAGTCCAAGCAAATACATGCATCATCATCACATGGACCACATGCTAGAGTGCCCAAAGCCTCTTCAACCCCAAAGTCAAAATTGATCTACATACTTTTGGGAAGAAGAGAGCTAGTCCTCCACCCATTTTCCAACCTAACCCGAGTTTTAGGAAGGAAACACAAGTTTGAGTGACTAAGGTGGAGCTTAAGAAACTCACCATCTAAACCAAGTTAGAGGCCCCGAGTGCTTCTAGTAAGATCATGGATCCTGATAAATAGGAGAGGTGAGAGTATGGACCTATGTGATCTTTTATGCATTTTGTCGAATAACCTAGAGTCATACATTGTGTAAATATTTTATTGTTTATTTTTATCATTGTTTTTCTATAAAAACATACAAAAGCATTTAAAATTTGAAAAACAAAAATGAAAGAAAAATAAGAATTCAAAAAGAGTTTTGGTGTCTCTTCTAACACTCATTTTTAGGATTTATAGTAGAATGCATTATTTGTTTTCCTTTGTTTAGTTGCATCTTTATGCATTTTTTCTTGTACATGTGTTTGTTAAAAAATTCAAAAACTTAGGAAAAGAAAAAGTCAAAAAGATTTTCTTTTGCTTGTTTTTCTTTGTTTGATGATTATAGTAATTCACACTTTGATTTGCATTAAAATTGATTTGTCCTAATATCAAAGTTGAAATGTGCATTACTATGAGTCAATTAGGGGATAGAGAACTTGCTGGCATAAATCCAATTACATGATTCATTAGCCGAAGTCTCTTTCATCCTAGCGTACTTGGATAGTGTTTAACTTTGAAAAATTCAAATCAAGTACATGCATGTCATTCACCTTCATACTTAGTAAATTGATTAGTTTAAATATTAATGATCTTAAAATACTCTTAAGTGTTGGTGATAGGTGAACACATGGCTAAAAATTAAAAGGTGAGGCAAAAATAAATAGCTAAAAACAAACATACTTAAATTGTGAGAGTACTAATACTTAATTGTTAATTCCTCATTTATAAAGTTCATAGAGCTCATGTTAATCATGATTAAATGCATACATTTAAAGTATGAAATTCACAATAGTGTTGATTGAAGTCATAGAATTGAAGAGATAAAAGAAATGGGGAGTTGTTAAAATAAAATAAAATTAGGACACTCATTAAATGGTCATGTTTTCAATTAGACAATGCATTAGGATTTCATGATAAGCTTTTTAATGATTTAAATCTAATAAGAATTCATTTTGTGTTGGAGGTTGGTTTCACACACTATGCACTTGAATTTGTCAAAGTTAAATAAAATTTGACCGCTGTGTCTAAAATTGAATCAAGTGAGGAAACGTTGCTCTAGGATGCATGAAATTAAGTTATATATCCTTAAATATGCCTTAGAGTAATGTATTTGAATGATGATAGAGTTATTAAAATGCAAATTTGTGTAATTTTCATGATTATTTGAATTATGAGCATTCATTATTTAAATTTGAAAATTGCACTTGATTTTGATCCAAATTCATCCATGTATTGCATTGAATATCATTTAGGCTTGATTTATATCCTACATGCATATTAGGACTTGATTGATAAGTGGAAAAGTGAACTTCCGGGACAGGATTGGTCCAAGGAAGAGTGAATCTAATTCGTCATCAAGGCTGAACAATTTTAGGAGTCACTCGAGCAGCCTCCTCACTGCTCAAGCGACCTCTCTTAAGTCGGCAGCCAGGTTTTAATAATGGTGTTTTACGACTCTGTGCATTCTAAATGCCCTCATTCATGTTCTAAGCCTCTATATATCCTAACCCTACCCTACTAAACTTTTCTAAGCTTATTTCTCTTAAATCTAAGGTTGATGCATTGTTTGTAAAATTTGGGAAAATTTAAAATTTTATTGTGAAAGACAAAATGGTAATTAACCATTGTGGTACGGGTTGAGAACCTGAATTTTTCTAGAGCTAGAATAAATAAATGAACCTTACTATTGGACTCGTCTCGCGAAATTTAGTTGTCTGGTCAATTTTCGTCTAATTTCAAGACAGTCAAATTTTTTGCGTTTTACGATGTGATCGACGTCGCATGATTAAAATAAACATGATTGGGATTTGATTATGAAACATGAAAAATAATTTAAATTTAGTTCAAATTAAATATATTGTACACAATATGAGAAGAAATTTAATTGATTCGGGATAAAATTGGATCAGAAATATGCGGGAAAAATTAGATTTTTCCCCATTCTTATTGTTGGGTTTTCTGGAGAGAGAGAGAGAGAGAGAGAGAGAGAGAGAGGGAGAAGAGAGAGCAAAAACAAAATCTTTAAGTTTCTTCTTGCGATATAGAACGATCTGTGCTTCGGATTGTTTTGGGCCAAGAACAAAAGTTGTTCTACACGATAAGAGCTACGTCTACATACCAAAAATTACGAATTTTGCCAAAGTCTAAAGATTAGGGTTTTTAAAAATCAAGGCTAAAAGCATGAATTGGGTATTTTGAAGCCTCTACTACGTGTATTACGCTTCAAGAAGTAAGTTTCCTTTCCTAACTAGGGTAATTTTCAACCTTTGGTTGAAATATGAAATGGATAGGGTATTAGAGATATAATTTCATGTATGGCACAAACCTATTGTAGTTGAAATGTGAAAAATGGGTATAAGAATGGTTAAAATCAATTCTTATATGAATTGGGTTTTGGTGAAATTGCTCATTGGAATTTCAAGATGAATGTGTTGATTGGGCATAATATGTGTTTACATTTTTGCCTTGAAGGTGTTGGACAAAATACCTATGTTGATTAACTATGTTAATTGCATTGAATATGTTATAACATGCTTGGAATTTGATGTTGGGAAATGTTGGTATATCCCTTATGATATATTGACATTAAGGACTTAGAAATGTTAATAGACATTGAAATTGTTCATATTTGGCTCATGACATATTGAACATGCTATGGAAATTGCAAGTGTACATTACATTTGCATATACACAGGAAACATCGCATTCGTGGGAATGTGACATAAGTGTGGGTGTGTGTATGACTTTGATCAAATACCATTCTTGGTGGATGATACGTGGGCTCGGGAAAGTTGGACCAAAGTTCGATTGAGTCACACGGGTAGTATTGAAAGTAAGGGTTGGGGTTAGTAAGAAGGGCTAGATTATCCCTTTGGTGCAAGGTCTGGTGTTTTGGATACGCCTTCCATTGGTATTTCGTCCATGAAGTATGTTGATGTATGCAAGCCATTGGTGGAATTCCATAGATGCCATGTCGGTTGGGTATCCGTTGGTGGAAGTTCATAAATACCCATCCCAAGAAAGACCCGTAAATTATAAATGGTCAGTGGATGTGTAACATTAATTACGGGGGCTTGGAATGCCCGGATGCCTATGCATGACATTGCATGTGGTATGGGAGCCTATGGAGGTCTCGGGTTGCATTGCATGTGTGAGTCTCACCTCATAATATGGGAGAACATTGTGACATTCATTTCTTGAAGTTATATGTTCTTGAATGAATGCTTGTTTGATTATTGAATTGCATGTGAACATTTCATATGCATCTGGGTTGGGGAATTTCCTTTTTAAGAGATACTCTATTGAGCATAACTCACCCTTTATGGGTATATATATTTCATGTGTTGGTCAAGCTTTGTCAGATGGTCCTCTCTTGGGCACGTGTTGACGACCAAGCTGGGTTGTGGCTCATGAATCCCATTTTGTAATCATTTTTGTACTTCATTTTGCCCTTATATAAATCATGTGTAAAACCTTGTATTTTAGCAAAGGCATGCAATGAAACATTTTTCTTTTGTAAAAGGAATCAATGGAATGAGTGTGGTATGTATTGGATGGCTAAAAGTTTGATTTTGGGAAGTTTGAAAAAAATATGGACTCCATGTAGAGGTATCTGGCATCTAGAGAGCCTAGGTACTGGTACTTAGGCTCACTAGTACCGATACCTCACTAGAAATGGACTCAGATACAGGTACCTAGGTTCACAAGTATCGGTACCACGTTGTCGAGGGCCCAAGTGCCGGTACTGGTACCACGTTATAGGTACCACTAACTAGCAAACTGAAAGATCAGGTACCGGTACCAAGTACAAGAGGTACCGGTACCTCTTCACAAAAATTGAAATTTGAAATGAGACCTTGCCGAGCCTTCACCTCTTAAGCTCTTTTGTTTAAATAATGTGATTAATGAAAGGTTAAGGACAAATGGACGGAGGTTGGATCTTGGTATGGTCATGTGATGACATGGTGTCGGGTTATGCAGCATGCATGGGTACTTCTGCAGGTTGATGGAGGATCAACTGGTTAATAAAGGACCCCTAGTTTTAGGGGCGTCACAACTTAGTATTAGAGCCTAAGTTCTTGATTTGCCTACGGCTTGCGGGGCATTGGTCTAGGCCATTGCATCCATTATGCATGACATGTTATATACATTAAATACTATGGGTTATGGGTTATGTGCTATGTGAATTATTTGCATGATTAAATGAATATAAAATT